CTGCTCGAGCTCCCCTGTCTCAGATCTGCCAGGGCTCAGCAGTTCCAGGGAAGCTGGGTTCTGCTGCTGCAGGTGGCTGAGGCTCTGCACCTTGGGGCAACTGGGGCTCTGTACCTCTGGGGCTGAGAGCTCTGCAGTCTCAGGGCTGCTGGGGCTCTGCTTGCCCAGGGCTGTTGGAGCGCACTTTCTCTGGTGCTGCTGGAGCTCTCCTGCCCTTGTGCTGCCAACGATCCACTGCCTAAAGGGCTTCTGAGGCTCTGATGCCCTGGGGCTGCCAGACCTCAGTGGTTCCAGGGCTCTCTTGGGGCCACTGCTCTGTGGCCAACCTTAAGACATCAGGTTCTTGATTGCCTGGGCTTTCTGGTCCAGGGGCTCTTTGGTCTAGCAACATCTGTGGTCCTGCCAGACCGGAGAGTCCCGGACCACAAAGGTTCAACCTGTATTTTTAAATGACCTTTTTTCTTTTCTTTTCTTGTTCTTTGTTTGGTGTTAGTGAGTTCATCTAATGAAAAGCCTGTGCTGCATTTCTCTCTTTTCTTATCATGAAAAATTTAACTAAGAGTATAAGGGATTAAAAAAAAAAAGTGCCCAATTTTTTATTTTGCTGGAATGAGAATGTTCAAAATTGGGAAATGCCATTGTAACCACAGCCAGATAGTCACATCTGGAATTAGAGCCCTGGAAAATAGGAACTGTGATTAAGGATAATAAATTGAATATTGCTTTCATATTGTGTCTCCAAAAACAAAACAAAAAATGCCTAGGTTGTCTGACAGAATTTTTTCTTATGGAATTCCTCTACTAGATCTTTTTAGTTGTGACTAGGGTTATTTTTTTATTGACTTAGGAATGTTTACGTAAGAAGATGGTTTTTGCTCAATAAGGGTTTGATCTATCAAATCTTCCTCACCCGAATAGTTACATACACTGGACCTCTCACTGCTTCAAGTACAAAGACTTTGTCTACACTACCATTTATGTCAGCAAAATGTATGCCTTTCAGGGGCGTAAAAAACCCACACCCCTGAGCAAAAGAAGTTTCACCAGCATGAGTGGCAGAGTTCACAGCTCTGCATTGGTGGGAGAGCTTCTTCTCCTGATGTGCCTAACACCACACGGTGGGCCTCGTTGCATTATGTTGATGGAAAAGTTCTCTACTATTGACACAGAGCAGATACACCATAGATATAACAGTAGTATAGCTGCATCGAGACAGCTATGCTGCTGTGAGTTCTGACATGCAGACATAGCCCTTATTTCAATTAATAAGGGTTACATCAATGGGGCCAAATGGTACAATTCTGCCTTCTGTTATGCGTACAGCTCTCAGTGATTTAGGTCCACCTGTGTAATAGAGAACAAATTAAGGTCCAAAAGAGAATTTTTAAAAATTTAGTGTCACAGCAAAGATCAATTCAAAAAACATACAAATTTATATTGCTAGCTTCCTTATGGTTATGCCTGTGGAATGAAGCCATGGTCAGCCTAACCTAATCTTCAGAGAGCTTCAAAGTGCCTTTAAAAAAATTATTATCAGAAATGTGTTGACATAGTCAATTCAGCTCTGGGAAGTGTGGAAATGATGTACTGTAGTGATGTAATAAAATATAGATTTAAAGAGACACTGCGGTATGAAATTTGAAGAAAAGATGGGGAAAAAGAAGGCTTCAGGAAACATAACCTTTTTCATATGTCTTAGTATAAATTCAGTTACAATAGACATATCTAGAAACAGAATTCATAAACAATTTTCACTTTGGGCTGTATTACTTCAGCATTTTCTATGTATGAATAATTTTGTGTTGCAGAGAATGCTATATAGTGGTGAATATAGAGAAAATGCCAAACCACTTTGTTAGAAGATGGTTGTTGTAAGTCTTACATCATGACAGATTTGTTTGAAATATGCATTTTTAATCAACCGACTTTCTATTGTGCTATAGCCTAAAGAAAGAAATCACTGCAGTGCCCCCTGCTGGTGAATGGCAGCTCACTGTTTCAGTAATGTCAGTGATTGACTGCACCAAACCCATTGCTGACATAAAGCCAAGGGTGATGCTGAAGACTGCCAGTTCATTTTAAATCACATCATTAAAATAACAGAACTATATATCAATATAAAACTACCATTCACTGATTCTTCTTCATTTTTTAGACATGTGATGGTTTACTGCTGCTGAGTTTGGCTGAAAAAAATATGAACACTTCACAAAAAGAATGTTTGTTTTTAAACCTCCTCTGTTTTTATTCACTAGTCCCCTCCTTTTCAAATTAAAATTATCTTTCTAACTAGCAATTCAAGAAATGTTTTAAGTGTGTAAACTTTTCTACCAATTCACACACATAAAGCCCATTGATTTCCTGGGAATCTTTTTCCTGATCCTACAAAGGGAGTTCTATTGGGTGGAATACGATGTAACGTCCCAGTCTTACGAATGCTTGTACATTAGTCCCACTGGGACTAATTGACTATAAATATTTGCAGATCAGATTGTAAGCTTGTAATATGTCTAGAAATGCATTTGCAGCATTTTAAATTATTTTAATAAATTGGGGAATTCTTAAGTGCCATATATGTTACTCCTTTTATTGGTTAAAAAAAATTTAAATTCTCCTCTATGTCTGCAAGTTTAGGAGATTTTATCTGTAATCTGTTTTGCCTTTGCTTTCTCAAGACAAAAAATTCCTTCATGATTATTAATTATTCTTAATCTATAAAATTGCAGTAAAGAAAATACTAAATTTAGATCCACTCTCAAATTCAATAATAACACTATCTGCATTACTGAAATTAAATCTTATAATTACTTATATTATCAATCTCCCTATTTTCATAACCTCATGGGCCATGAAAGGGATTAGTTAGGACATGCAAATACTATGGATTGTCAAGAACTAAGTATCTTTTTTATGGCTCCAGCAACTACTCAGCCAAAGGCTAGCAGAGGATTTTTAACAACTCTGAGATATCTACCATTAGTATAAACTTGACATAAAATATCAAATGGTTAAATAACTATATTTTTTACAATTTTTGTTTTCCGACTGTTCAATTGTAGTTAATAATGGTTGGATTATGGACAAATACATTTTAAGGAATTTTTTTACAGGCAGCATGTGAGGTATATATGAAGTTACAATGCACAGTATGCAATGGGGCCATATTCTGATAACATTTACACAGAGGTTAATCCAAACGGACTCAGTTGAAAATAAAGAAGTTACTCATTATATATCCAGCATAACTGAGAGTTGAATTTGGCTCAATAGATTGTGGGTGCTAGAAGTTATTCAGATTAACTTCAGTGAACTTCATAAATACTTTCCAGACTTTTGAAAGAAAAACCCATTTAAAACTATAATTTACATAATAAACAAACATTCAAATATGCAGTCACAAATCTTTTCAAGAGATCACAAATGTGTGAAGAAAAATGGACAAATATCCTTTAAGGATTACTCTATTTAACAAAATAAACTCCACTTTTAAAATTATGATTAAATGTTACTGTTGTGGTACAAGTGGACAAAAGACAAGTAGGTTCTAAACAGCGGCTTAGAACTTTCTTTATGCCCTTTTGGATAAAATAGACATAATTGTGAACTTGTAATCAGGCAAATTTTTAAAGAATGAGTCAGCCTGAAAACTGAATTTCTTGACTTTGTTGGTTCATCTTAGGGTTAAGAACAGCTTTTTTTGCACTTCATTTCATTACATGTCATTAAAATACAGTCATTTAATACAGAACCTGTTATATCTTTCTGTGGGACCCAGTCTTGCAAAAGAAAGCAGTTAATCAGAGCTTTTCTAGTGTTAGTCAAATTACACATCTCTAAAATCCACCTGCGGCCTCTAATTGCAGTGTCGTTGCATGGTTCATGAGGAAGAACCATTTAGGTCCAGCTAGCCTCTGGTGTCTGCCTGTCATAGTGGCTAGTCACTGACTATTTCTCTCGGACTGAAGGAGCAGGGCTGATAGCAGAAATGCAGATTGCTTGCACAGAAGTAGTATAACATTTTTGAAAGTACTGAATCCATAACGAACTTAAATTTCCAAGACTCCTAAGTCACTTAGGTACCTATGAAAATGTTATGCTTATGGCCACATTCTTATTTACCCTATTCCCACATAACACTGCCTTTGTCCTGTGCAGTCTTTGATATGTGCATTAATATAATTGACTCCCAATTTGAGCTTCCTTTGCACTGCAAAAGTGGCATGAAATGCACTTGTAGGGTTTTTTTTAATACTAAGCTCAGTATGTTCCCCTTTTGGTAAAACTGTGTTTATGAACTAAACATAATTAACCATCCATAAGTTTTGTCTTGAAAGAGCAAAAACAAAAAAATTGATGATAATTTCAAAATTTGCTCTTAACCAATTTTTTTTAATTAGCAAAAACGTTTAAACCAAACTTTTGTCAAGTGGTCACCTAATAAGTTGATGAATATTTGAAAGTGAAATACATATGCAATGGTATTGTAGCTGTGTTGGTCACAGGATATTAGAGGTACAATGTGGGTGACCTTTTATTGCACCCGCTTCTGTTGGTATCAGAGACAAGCTTTTGAGCTACACACAGATGAAGAAGAGCGCCATGTATCTCGAAAGTATGTCTCTGTCACCAACAGAAATGGGTCCAAAAAAAGATATTGCCTCACCCAGCTTGTGTGTCTAGAGAAAGATTTGTATATTTATCCATTTATTGTATGTGCCTAATCCTATTCCAGTAAGATTCCCCCCCCCCCCCCCAAAAGAATTCCTTTACTTATAGTCTATTCTAGCATAATCTGTAATTTCTTCTCGGAACTATTATACTTTATTTTTTTCACTATCTTAAGGCCATGTACCTCGAATAGCAATCCTTCCAAGGAATTTTACTAAAGAGAGACATTTTTGAGATATTCAAATATGGCATTTGTAATCACTGTTGTATCTTGGTAATGAGAATTGTTAGGAGAAGCTTTGGGGGAGGCTAATTTTTTTTTTCTGCTTCAGCCAAAAAATTAGGAATTACAGACGTGCCTGCTGAGGTGATTACCTTTATTTCCCATGCAACACAAAACCGATTGAGAACAGTGATAGAAAAAGTAACGATGGTAACGCAGCACCGAATGGAATCACACAAAGTAAGTATGAAAAGATGGTACTGAATTGCTGTCCAATGATATAGCTTTTTGAATGATTGCTCATGTCCACTCTATATTAAGTGTGTGTGTTTCCCACATGCACCAGTGCTAAAAGGTTTTTCTCTCTGTGGAATCCATAGGGGACTGTCTCTGGTGCCCTCTAGAGTAGCACCTATATGGTGCAGTATAAGGGGTACCACAGGCACCCTTCACCATCAATTCCTTCTTGCCACCAATGACAGTGTTTAGCTACCTTGTGTTAGCTGTGTTTGCTTCGTTCAGTTCTGTGAACTTTTACTCTTATATTATCGTTATCCTTTAGTGTTGATTAATTAGTTGGTCCTGGACAGGACATTGCCTAGGCATGGACATGCTCTAATCCCCAGGTTTCAAGTGCTGCAACAGCTGCAAGGATCCTGTTCCCATCAGTGATCTTCACAATAGTATGCTCAAGGTTTCTGAGAGAAGAGCACATTAATGCAGTTGTTGATGGTTCAAACCCCAGATGAAGAAGGAGAGAGATGTTCATCTGTGGTCACTCACGATGGAGTCAATAGTAATTCTAGCACCAGGGCAGAGATCTGACTCAGCCCGAGTATCACGGCCACTGGCACCCTTGTCAAGCATTACTGATTCCCCTCTCCAGTCCAAGGGACAGGCAAAGGGTAGATCTCCTACCTCCTGCAAGAGAAAGAAGAGGGCCAAAGGGGAGCCAAGACCCATGCTGGGTGGCTCAACCCCTCTGTCAGGGAGTCACACCCCAGTTCAAGCCAAGCAGTCCAGCCCAGCCCAAACTAAGACTGCTTCACTGAACAGTGTTGAGGACCTCCAGCAAATAGAAATCCCCTTGACATTTAAGGCCTTGCAGGCAGTGCAGAAAATCCACTACTGCTGCTGCCTACACTAGCTCAGGTGGTACCCCGACCTAAAGAAAAACTCACCTTGGATATTTCCACAGGTTCCTATCTCCGCAGCACCATTCCCCATCATGAGAGATGTCCCACCAGCACTCTCCCACTCAGAGCTGTCCCGCTTCAAGCATAGAGAGACAAGCTCAGAAAAGCCCCTTTGAATCCCCAAATGTTGGAGTGCTTACAGCAGGAGTCAGGTGTATCTGAGCTCCTGCTGTGAGAGCATATCCTGGTTGAGATCCATGGAGGCACCTCCTCCCAGTAGGAGCATCATTACTGTCCTTCATCTCTCCCCTGCCTTGGTGCCAGTCGCATGACCGCTGCAGTGAACAAGGCTGCCAATCACACTTCCATCGACAACAGTCACCGAGAGGCCTGGCCCCCAAGAGATCAGCCTGCTCTAGTTCTTGATTTCACTCTAGGCCCTGGTAATGTTTGAACAGTGTGAGGCGCAGATCTCCAGAGTAACATTGCCTATCACACTTATTTCTGCAATCTACTGGATTACTTAGTCCACCTCAAGAACTAGGGGCGGGCTCTTTTGTGTCTCATAGTGCACTGGTAGTGCATAGTGCATCTGATTCAAGGTGTTCTCTCAGAACTTGTCTGTCCATTTCTTGAGGGGACTGGAGAGACTCTTCCCACCGAGTTGAGCTTCTGTCCCACAGAGGGGCCTTAGTTTGGTTCTCAGCAGGCTCACCAGCCCACCTTTGGAGTACTTGGCATGCTGCTTGTTCTCCTATTTGTTGTGGAAGGTTGCATTCCTTGTGGCAATAATATTGGTAAGATGTGAGTTGGAACTTAAGGACATAGGAGCCGTTGTATAGCATATGTGGCAGGGTCAGGCTAGAGGGCTTCTACAGAGTGGGAGAAAGGCAGCTCAAAAAGGGTAAAAGACCTGCTAAATAGAAGCAGGGGGCGGCAGGACAATTAGAAGCAGCTGGTAGGGAGCAGGCTCAGGCATATAGGGGACAGCTGACTCCACTGCTGGCTTTCTGGAGGCCTTTAAAAGCCTCCACAATTGGAAGGTGAGGGGGAGAGTGAGAGGACGGAAGGAGACGTAGAAGAGATCCAGAGTCTGTTAGTAAATCAGAACAGCTTTAGAACAGAAACAGCAGAGGAGGGAGTCCCAAGAGGCGTAGCTAGCCTCCCTACTTCAGAAACCAGTTGCAAGCTCTGACCCCTGGGGAAGGGAGTGAGAGGCTGGCCTAAGCAATGGCCTGGGTAAGAGGGGTCCTTGCCACAGGTATGACTACATTGCATGGCTATTTCAGGATACTTCCAGTATCTTGAAATAGTTACCCTGCATCTACATAAGCCATCCATTATTTTGAAATATTTTTTTAAATAATGGGCACACTATTTTACCATCCTGGTAAAACTCATTGCACGATGGTTAAGGGATGATTCAAAATAGCACGAATAGCTTTATAGATACAACAAATTTCAAAATAATTCATTTAAAAATAGATTCAAAATAAGATATGCAATTTGCATAGCACAAATTGCATATCTTATTTTGAGTTTAGAGTGCCGTGTAGACACACCCACAGTCTTCTACAAGAACAAGATCCAACTGCTGCCCCATCTGTCCTTCCCATCAAAGGTGGGGTCCTTCTTCCACGTGAACCAGAATATCTTCCTCCCTGTCAGAGTTTCTGGTAAAAAGGAACTGATGGTAGAGGAGCCAATGGCATCCCTTATACCGCATCATACAAGTGCTACTCCAGAGGATGTCAGAGCCAGTCCCCTACAGATACCACTGTAGGAAAAACTTTGGGCACCAGTGCATGTGGTGAGTACACACTTCTAACATGGAGTGGACATAAGTAACACATGTTGAAGAACACCAGTTATGGACAAAGGTAACATTCTTTTTGAGAGATTTCAGAAATAAATCTGTTCTTTCCTTTCTTAGCACACTATAGGTGGAATATTTGCACTGTCCATGGCATAGTTTGGTCAGAATCCAGCTATGCGTAATTAATGAGAGTTGGTAGGCACCTTTCTCTGATAGAACACGTCCATGGTATTTTTCCTTAAAATCACTGTAAATGATTACTATTTCAATTAACAGTACTAAAATCGCTTGTAGGATAGCAGTTAAACTGTTTCTACCTGTGAGCCATGGTTGAAATTGTTCTTATCTCAGGGCCATGGTATCCACATTGTGGATTGAAATTGCTTGCCTTATGTGTAAATCTGCTTTTAACAGAGCTTATCCTTCTACTTCTTGAAGATGAGAAAAATTAGTACATATAGAATTTGCTGAAGTAACATTGTTCCGAGCAATGAATACATCAGAGTATACAAAGATGAGCTCTTGTATACTGGGCTGAAACTGAAATGAAAAGTGATCATTTGAAATCAGCTTTCAATATTTTAGAATGTGTATCTAATGTATATTAATTAATAATGGAAGGAAATGCCACATATTTTTCTTAGTCAAGCAGTCTGAAAATTCAGAGGTTTAACACCCTCTTGCTGGTGAGTGTTATCTTACAGAAAAGTGACATGATTTGGGTATCTGGCACTGTGGGAGCTCTGGTAAAAGATTGCAAATTAGTTTCTGATCACTGGTAATAGAAAACCTTCAACAGGCAAGTGGAATTTTTATTCCTTAACCATTAATACTAAAGATATTTTTAGTTTTGTTAAACTAGTATTAAAGCAGGGTGAAAAGGTCATAGAGTGGCAGTTTGGACCCTCCGAGTCTCTATCAGGTAGACCCTTAAGATGAGTAGCTTGTCTTCCTTCAACTCAAAAGATGAAATTCCTTGGTCCAGTAATACTTGGACTGGCTTTCGGGGGAACCAGCTGCATCCCAACTGCGTAAATATGACCATTCTGATTGTACTTAACTAGCATCTCCAAAATTTCTTCTTTTCAGTCGTCTGTGTCCAGTGGCTGATTAAAGTGACTGAAAATAAACACATTGTTTATTCATCCAAAGGTACATAGCAACCCAGATAGCCCTGCTTCTGGATAGGAATGATGGACAGACACACCCTACCACGTACTCTGAGTGAGTGTCTCAGAGACTCATATGCAGGCCAGGGAATATTAGTAGTTCAGTGTATACCTTTTGATTCCAGGTTTGGGCCATGTCTTCACTAAATGGAAGATCGATGCTGCTGCAGTCGACCTTCTGGACTTCGATTTAGTGAGTCTAGTTAAGACTTGCTAAATCAATCTCAGTGGGTACCCTTGTCGGCAGTCCGTGCTCCTGCTTCTGCAAGAAGTAAGGGATGCTGATGGGAGCATTTGCTCCACTTAGCCTCCTGCTGTGGGGACAGCAGGGAAACTTGAAACAAGGTACATCGACTCCAGCTGGAGTTGTGTATGTTGATTCAACCTTCCCTTTTAGTGTAGACCTGGTCTAAATCTCGGTAACATAGGGAAGAGAATATTTCCCAGTTAATAGCTTCCCAGTAATTTCCCTCTCTGACAGTGATTTTCCTCCCATCAGCTTCTTTTAATTCCTTGTAGTAAAGCAAGTTTGTAGAAAGCAGATAAACAGATATGCAATGTACTGTTCATAAAAAACAATAGCTAATTCCCTCATTCTCCACTTAAACATTAAAAATGTCTTGTGCTCCCATGCAGCCAGCATCATAAATAATTAGTTTGAGAGCCAATATCTTTATAGTCTTTTGCCTTTGTCCATTTCATTTTAACATAGATCTGTTTTAACTTGTGTTTTAAGTTGTAAATGTTTTTTTGAAGTTCTATGCATTTTGACAATTCCTATAACTGTATTAAATATAAGACCTGCAATTTATATCTAGGTTTAATTGTCTACTGTGTAATCATAAAATTAAATACCACAGTTTTCAGTTACTTAATCCATTGTTTTGATTTATATAAGTGTGCCGTACCTCTGACATGGATTAATCAATCCATACAGTTTGTATTTAAAAATGTTATGGTACACAACTAATTGATAACATTATTTTTATCTACAATTCTAACAATAATCTGTTGGGAAGATACTAAGGCATAGTAGTTTAAAAGCATGCATGATTTATAGCTTTATTAAGATGTCTTGTTTTTATAAAATATTTCGTATTTCCTAGGACAATGAATGGTATGAACAAGCTACAGATGTTCGATCACAACTGAAGTTTTTTGAACAGTTGGAACATTTAGAAAAACAAAGGAAAGATGAACAAGAAAGGGAAATTTTGTTAAAGGCAGCCAAGGTACTTGTTTTATTTCCTGTTTAAAAAAACAAAATATTACATTGTAGTATTTATGAATCAAATATGTATCAAATAGTAGTACTTATGTATACAAATATATGTGTATTTATTTATGTATCAAAAGGTAATATAACAAAAATTATGTATATATTCATTGGCCAAGTTCAGCAAGGCTAATGTAAAAGAGGTTGAATAAATGGCTTGTAGATGTACTCTGTTTGATTTAACTTTCTCTTCCCTTGCAAGTGCACATGCTCTAGTTTTTTACCAGTGTACATCAGTTCCCATGGATCTCCAAGAACCTTTGTGTTGTCTTAAACCTGATATAATACATTCTGCTGGCACATTTTCCCCAGCAGGGATAAATTGGGTCATCTGTACTGAAACTTGAGGCCAGTTCTAATGCTTCTATTATTATGTAAAGACATTTTCCATTTAAACAACTTTTCATTTAGAGTTCTTAATACTTTGTAAACTGATATCAATTGTACATTGTATGTTATTCACACACATAAGCTATGTTCAAGCAGCTATTTGGTTTAAAATTTTAAAAAAGGAAACTCAGGTAACCCACTCTCAGTGCACTGGGTTATGTTCATTTATCAGAATTATAATCTGTAGAATCATTCCTGCCCTTATCTGGAGCAGTGCCGTGCACTGAAACTCCCATTAGTTGTGGGTATTCAAAGGAATTCAAGATGAGCATGTGCACTTGCAAAGGTATTCAAAGGCATGGTCACCTGTCTTTGTAGGACCCACCACAATCCAGGCTCACAAGAAAAACAGGACTTTTCACAGATCACTGACTAGAGCACTGGGTCATTAAGTCCTTAAGTACCAATAAGAGCTTTCACTAGAAGACCTAGATTAATAAATAGGGTTATACTTCATATTTCTAATTTTACATATGAGAAAGATAAACACACAAATAGAATATAAACAGTCAGGCGATTACAAGTTCTTGAATGTTAGGATACTTGTCCTGTTTTGCATAAAACATATTGCATAAAACAAGTTATGCGTATTCATATTCAAAAACATATTTCCATAAAATATGGGGACACAGTGTCACAGATACTGAATAGCATTGACACGATTCCATATGGGTTTTTCCCCAAAGTTTATGGAATCTTGTAATAATTTGGTTAGGAATTTCCCCTAACATTACATCACAAAGAACTCCAGTGATATATTGTTGTAAATGTAGTTAAAGCTTTAAAATAGTTAAAGCTTTAAAATGCAAAATGTTCTCCTAATTAAGTTCTACAAATATGCTTGTGGCTTAGTAAATCACATTGGTGGACAATGATATTGAGAGAATCAGTGTCCAGTCTGGACTGGGGCTTCTGTTTCTCTGGTTTCAGTTACAAAGGTGACTTTTGGGTGTCAAATGCAATAGTCCAGCAGTAGTTAAACAACTGGGCCAATTCTCCATTATTTGGGCTGGAGGTAAAGTGATATACTGTGGCTGCTAATTCTTAGCAAGGGCTTCATGAGACTCTTACGTGAATGGAAAGAGGTCCCTCTGTGAGTCTCCTCTTCTCAGAAATATCATATTTCTTGGTGGCATCCATACTTTAAAATAAAGTTCTCTCATTTCTTGTTTTCAGCCCGTATGGATTGTGTATGTGTGACAAAAGAAATTGTGATGTTGAAAGGAAAAATACCTATGGAAGGGATGTTTTCAGGTTGAGTGAGGGAAATGCTCAATTTACAGAAAAATGGGTCTTCCCTGGTCCGGCACCCTCAAACTTGATTGGTCCCAAATGAGGGATTTTGCTGAACCAGGGGAAATCATTTCTGGCCTCCGTGCTCCTGGCTCTACCCCCTGCATTGGCCCCTGCCCCCACTGAGTTTTCTCTCTCCCCCCCGCAGCCTAACTGAGCCACATGCCAACTCCTGGCCCTCCCCCCCCAGGCCAGTCCAGCTGAGCCATGCACCAGGCTTTCTGGCTCTCCCACTCTCCTCGCTCCCCAGCTGGGCTGCGTGTCACTCTCCCCTCATTCCCCAGCATTACACCAGGCTCATGGCCCCTCACCCCCTGCAGTGCACTGGGATTCTCTGATCCTGGAAACCTGTGGTCCAGAAGAACCATGGATGTTGCCAGATCAGAGAGTCTTGGTTTATAGAGGAGCAACCTGTAAAGAATGTAGTATTATCCTGGAAGATTGAGGGTGAGTACAGTGGTTCATATTAAAAAAGGAGTTATTTGTCTTACCATATAATTGATCTTAATATACATAGAAAGATATCTCAAATCTTACAATATAATATGATAATCTCATATAGCATAAGATACATGATTATTTTTAATGTGAACCACTCTATCTGTATTTTTTAAGTTATACTGTTTGACTCCAGTTGATCTTTTTTAAATTGCGTTGTCTGTAACATTCATATTTAAATGATCCTAAATAACTTGAGGGACTCAAGGGCTCAGGGGATTGGTAAAGGAGTAATGAACCTTTTCCCCGTGCCACCACCAGTTCATGTGTGACCCAGTTTCATAGTGATTGAAATTTATTGCTGTCTGATAGCTGTTCAGTAGTCTGTGTGAAAACAGTTGATGATTCCCATCCAGCTCTTAGTGACTTTCATAGTGATATATTCCTACAATACATCTATCGCATTTATCAATGTAATTTGAAGCTCTATCAGAGAGACTAATGATAAAAATTAATACTGACAAAGAACTAGACCAATGGTTTTCAACCGCTGGTCTCTGGACCTCCAGGAATCTACAGACTAGGTCTAAGATTTCCAAAGGGGCCTGCATTTTCATTTGCATTTTTTAAGGGTTTGCAAATGAAAAGAGTTTAAACTGTTGAACTTTTGAAAATGCAACAGTGACTAGTCATTCGATTGGATGATTTCCTAGGAATTCTCTGACTTCAGCTCCTACAGTTGTATGAATCCTCTGATGGGTCTTTCCAGGAATGGTACAGAGAATGCTGTGTTTGTTCTATGACTTGAGATATCTGTAAGATACGTTAAATAGACATTCTTGTTACCAGGCCAGCTGAGCTGGATTTTAACTACTGACAAAATATTTAACCAAGTGTTAGTAGTTGACTGTTTGATATCCTTGTCAGCAGAGAGGCCAATAATTGATCCAGCTCTTGGAAACTGAACTACCCATGCACTCTAAAGCTTTATCTACACTTGCTAGGAGATCAGCACTGCAGGAATCAATCTTCTGGGGGTTGATTTAATGGCTCTAGTAAAGACCCACTAAATCCATAACTGATCTTGCTCCAATCAACCCAAATCCCCCACCGAGCAAGAAGAGTAAGTAGAGTTGATGGGAGAGTGTCTTCCATTGATCTCCACACCGTGGAGACAATGTGGTAGCTTGTGGTAGCTATGCTATTCATGTAGCTGGAGTTGCATGCTTTAGTTGACACTGCCCGTTAATGTAGACCTGGCCGAAGAGGTGGTCTGTCTAGGTCAGGGTTAGGCAATATAAGGCTTGTGCCTGTGCTGTGTCTGCTCTGACACTAAATGGAGAGCTTCTTTATATAGGGATGTGAAAGGGACATCTTTTGTGAACACACTTTATCTCTCTACCTCTTTGTAGATTTTGAAGCCAAATGTAAGAGAATAGGTTTGATTTACACATTCAAAACTGTTACTGTTCATCCAGAGACAGATTTTTATAATTTTAGCCATTGCAGTGGAATATTAAACACAATTGTTTCCTATCCCAATGGGCTGTTATTTTCAATAACCAAATGATGTTAATTGCACTATTAATAGTGGTATTACTGTGCATAGGGAATGCTGTGATTACTTGTTTCATTCAGAGTGAAAAAGCTTGCTTGGATGCTTGGAATTAAAGATATGCTGAGAACCTGAAGATGGGAAATGCTTTTTTTTTATAAATGCGGCTTTCTGATAGGCTTGCTTAATGTGGCTTTGAAATGTAACAAAATGTATTATAAAGACAGCCAGTCACAGGTCAAAAGGGAGATTTTAGGATAAGTTTTAAAGAAGATAAGTTGCTAAGGCTTTGTCTGTATTGAGCAAGAAAGTATGCAACAGGCAGTTATGGAGTAATTTGCCCATAGAAGAAATTTAACTGTTAGTTTGGTTTATGTCTATGATACGAGTAGATGATAAAAGCTCAATATGTCAAGGCATTTCTGACTAATGGGTCAAGTCCACAGTTCTTTTCCCCACTGTTTCTACTCTCTCTCTGGTAGAAGTGGCTGGAGTGAGGTTGTGTCTCTCCTCCACCCTCCCCAAACCCAATGTGATCCCCAGCCATTTCCTGTCTTGGACCCCCTCTTTCTGTGTCAGACACCATGGTAATTAATTCAGTATGAAAATATAGATTTGGAGAAGTTGACTTGTCAAGGGACAGTTCCACATTATGGCAAGAGGGTCTATACCATATAATGGTGACTGAAACAGCATTACTTTATTTTAATTTGTCTTGGTGAAAAATATCGAGGTGAGAGAACAATGCCATAAAACAACTGGCCATGCCTTCTCTGCGTACAAAGCCCAAGCCCTACATAGGGAATGTGTATCAGAGCAGGCTCTTCCCCTTTTATACTCTTCCCCTTTTATACTCTTCTAGTCAGGATCCACTGGTATTTGCTCTCCTCTGGATGCAGTTTGTCAGGGGAACAGGTCTGTTTGTCAGGAAGGTAGGGAAAATTACATTCTTAGAAAGCAACACAGCAAAGAGCAATCTTAGAACAATATAAAGGTCAAAAGCCAGACTGAATCAGTTGAATTTCTCTTCACATTTATTGTGGCCTGCATTGTGTGGGATTTTTAAAAGACCAAAACACAAATTTTGCATTACACTAAAAGTGTTGGTACTTGTTTGTTTATTGTCTCAATAACTGGAGATCGGAAAGGCTTATGTGTTAGAGTTTAATATATGGTCAATAATGAAAATGCTCTTGGTGACAGAAAGAAACATGATGTGAAACCATAGCTAGTGATCATGGCTTGATTTTATTTCTAAATGTTTTTTTGGATAGTTACAC